TGAAAATGTGCCGATCAAACAGACAGTGAATCATGACCAGGAGGAAAGAGCTGGATGACGGCTTCGGGGGGTTAAACAAAGGTGACCTTTGACTGGCACTAACCCCAGGCAGGAAGGTGAAGAAGTTGTACTTCTGGTTGTTAATGACATTCCTGGGGTACCTCTGCTCCCTTTTTTCTGGGTGGCCGAGCCACACGGTGCGGGGACGGAAGTCACCCATGCCACAGCATCTCGACCACGGGCAGCATCTGAGAGGAGGAGGAGATGGAAGACACAAGTAACACTTCACATTTAATTCCAGTGTTTGATTCTGTAGTAAGGATGCAAAGACAAAGACTATTATGTGACGAAAAGACAATTAATATTTGGGAAGTATTTGAATTCACTCTCCACACCCTGAGAGAGCTGCGTTGAGGTAACCCTAATGAATTTCCTCTCACATCTTCTTGTTAATGTGTTGCTTATTGTAGCCAAATCCCACAGCGCACACTGCACTGAGCTACAGACCCATGACCAAAGGTGTCTGGAAAGATCATGCCGTGAAAAATAAATATTAACTTTATCTTGGAAAAGCTGGTCACTCCCTTCAGACTAAGAAAACAAAGCATTTCGTAAAATCCAACGAACAGCTCAGTGGCTTTGCGATTAATAATTGAACCTAACTGTAAACAACATATTTGACTTTTATGGCAGATGACTCAAGTCTTAGATGCCAACAATATCCTGTCTGCCAGGCCTGACAAATTAAAAGAAAAACATCATAGCACCGTAGCAATAATTCAACAACCCTGCAGTGATAATATTTACGTCACTTGGAACCAAGTAGACCCCCTCATACTTGCAGACATAGAAAGAATAAACATGGAAAGCATAACACAGGCCATTAATCTGACTTTGGTGCAATGGCAATTCAAACCCACCCATCCAGACAATTTAAATTGTATTTGTTATGCAATACTGTGTTTCCTAATTAACTGTTTAGAGTAGTATCAGGCATATATAATGAGCAGTCATTATGCTAACCTGTGAAAAGTAGCTAAAACACCCAAGCTGACATATTCAAAATGTTCTCCCTTATGTTAATGAGTGTTACATGTACGTGTTATCAAAATACAGGTTAGTACTGTATATCAACTGATTATTTTTCTAATGCTTTTTAGTCTTTCTGTATAATTCTATATTTACATCAACCGTTAGAGTGGCTGTTTATTCACTAATAAATGGGACACCTAAATGTGGACTGTTATCAGCAATGAGATGACCTTTCCTGATGTCGGCTGCCATGTTTATCCGTTGTGCTGGATGAACTATGTGCCGGAACAAAGTTCAAAGATAGCGTGATGGAGAGATGAAAGACTTATATTAATTATTTTTTCTCATATTATTTTTTAACCTTTTTTCACAAATGGGGGAAACAAACAATCCGCCCAATCCCGAATTTTTAATACAAATTAAATGTGTAAGTGCTTTATACAGAGCTCTCCCACTCCATCAGTGTTTTTATAAAGATCACTTTAAAATATTGACATAAAAACCCACTCGACCTCCTGAGACACAGCACCAACTAGTTTGTTGATATCTTTAATTTAAAAAATTACTAAGGAGCTTTACAAAGAAATAGTCATGATCCACCTTTGCTTAAAGGCTCTAGATTATTTAGTTAATGGAAAACAACAAAATCTCTTTATGTAACATAATCTCAAAAACACAGAGCTCATAAACAACGAGAAGCAGATAGGTATAATGTTTTGGGCATCCACTGGAATGTGTGTGAATGTTAGACAGAAAGCAAATGAAACTAAAACCTCAATCATTTTACTTTATTACACCAAATCCAACGTATACGTGTTTCTTTGATATCATTAAAGACTTATGCAAGGCCCTCAAATGTCTTATTCAAGTGTGCTATACAAATAAACCCTCGCCTTGGCATGCCTCACTCTGTAGGAGGCAAAGAAAGTGCACTGGCTGCACTAATGGTCACTATATATCACACTGCCAGCTAGAAATCATACACCCATCATCCTTGTATATATGCAGGCCTTTATTTCTGCAACATCATAGCTCGTTCGAGGATCTTGAGTCTTTATAACAGGAGGTGACATCACCATGGCAGCCTGATCAGTCTGCTGGAAGCATTTCAGCACTGTGTCTCTCCACTTTCTCCATCATTATTTCTTAGGCCTGCCCCTTTTTGTGGTGGTCAAATAACACTACAGAGGATCACTTCGTCCGTATGTAAAAATTAGGGGCAGAATGTATTTAAATCAGGGCAGACAGCCTGAACTTAATGTCAGGCGAGCAAATATTGACAATGGGCGTTAAATGCACTTGCTACTGCAACCCCGGAACAAGGATGTGTCCGGCTAACATTAGCCGTTTCAAAGCTACAATGAATAGCTACATCATATTTATTAGTACATCTACGGGCTGCTCGTCCTTATGTTTCCCTCCGTACTGTTATATTTTACCCAGAAAGCTGCTTAGCTGGTTTCTGAGACAATGTCGACGCGCTCCTGTAAACACTTTTAACCGCTACAGTGACAGCAGGAGATGCGACGAGCGAAGCACGTAAACAAATGGCTTCACGGTGATAATACCGAGCTGTATAACGCCCTTACCCATTTCTGTGTTTACTGTCGTGTCTTTTCGGTCGCCTCACGGGTTGTAGAGGGATATTGTCGGTCATTCCTGCAGCCCCTTGTCGCGGGTGGAAGCTGGAAGGAGTCCGCTTGGCTGTGGAGCTGCTGGGCGGAGGCTTCCTTGAGTGACAGCAGGGAAGCAGTGCTGGGACAGTGCTACACCAAGCAAACCAATCTCCCACTGGAGTACTATACCACACTCGTGTCATTAATAATTACTTATTGTATTATTTTTTCAAATAAGGTGTTTTAGTTTTAATAGTATAGTACTAGTAATAGTATTTTTTTTTTCAATGGGGTGGCACAGGAAAGACCAAAAACGAACGAGACACAGTGAGGAGTACAGGAAATCCAGGACACATTATATTAGAAATAAATACAGTAAAAAAAAATTTTTTTAAAGAAAATCGAGAGAGACAAAAAATTTAGCAAACAGTTATCAAGTGAAATTTGGCACTAAAAAGTTTAAATAGCTGAATTAAGTGTCATAGATTTTATTTGACATTAAAATAGACAAGCTGTTGAATTTCATACAGTATTTCTGGACTGTCTTGACTGAGGAGTCTTCTCTTTTTAATCAAAAATTATTGGCTTTATTATTAACTCTTCCAACCTCTTGTTTTTTCCTTTTTCATTATTTCTGTCATTTTTCTGACATGTTGATAGGACCATCTCAAGGACTGCTGCTCTGATACTCAGCTGTACAATATCTTTTACTTGATAAATGTTTATATGTTTAATAAAATGTTATCATTTTAATTTCAATGCTACCTGATGACCGCAAAGCCTGCAGCAAAGCAGCCCCAAACCATGATGTTCTCTCCACTGTGCTTTACAGTTGGGGTATGGTTTGGGTGACAGTAAGGCTTTTCTCCAAACACAGGTTTGTGCAGTTTTTATGACCCATATTTGCTATCACTATTCTTATTCAGCATGGTTCTTAAGACTGGAAAGGAGTGGTATTGATTTGTTTTTCACTAATTTCAGCATCTTTCCAAAATACCCACAAACAATCTGAGTAGAAAGTGATGTGATCTGATAGACTGTAATGTGATTAACACATATCGCTCAATCCATCCATCCATGGCAGAAGGCCATTTCCCTGAGCCTGGTTCTAAGAGGTTTCTTCCTGTCAAAAGCGTTTCTCTGTATTATTGTAGGGTCTTTACCTTACAATAAAAACCACCTCGAGGCATCTGTTGTTGTGATTTGGCATTATGTAAATAAAACTGAATCGAACCCATCCATCCTTCCATCCAGGTGTCCAATATTAAAACACACCCCAGTGTAATGCAGTCAAATGGGCCAGTCATCAGCCTATTGGGGCATTTTTGAGCACATTAGAAGAGATCTCATAAGACTGTAAAAGTGCTTATTTAAAAAGGCTTGAGCAAGGACAAAAGGGTAAACTTAAACGACTGTAGCAAATTGTAAAATTTGTATAATGAGTTTAACCTACAGCAATTAAATTTGCATCCCACAACTTTGACCTCAGCCTGTGACAGAGAAAGAGTCGATTGAAAAAATGATGCGAAAAGGCAGCCACTATGAAAGCATCTATCGTGCGCCATGTTTCAGATATACGCATAAAACATTGCACTATCTTTGTATCTTTTTGTTGTGTTCCTTAACCACAAGGCTTTTCCCAGCAGGTAGCTCTGCATGTTTTGATTTGGCAGATTTTTACACTAGATGTGCTTCCTGACACATCCCCAAAGGGATTTGTGTATCCTCAAACTGGGGAGCTTTTGCTTGGTAGGGTGAATGTGTAAACCACAACACTACAGAGCCATCTTTTTGTTAGCCCTTACAAAATCTAAAATGATATTGCATAAAAGGTACTATTAAAATGAGCTGACATGCAAACAACTCTCAACAAAGCCATCTGACGGTTATGATTGCCATTCTGTATTTTTGCATTACAGGTTTCTCTGTATATCTGCTCACTCTGTTTGCCTGGAACTACTTTGTATTCCATAGGGAGACTTATGCAAACTAATGGATCATTTCAAAATTCCTCAGGAAGAGGCCACTGTGCTGATTACCGAAAATGGACGATTGGACAGCATGCTTCAGTTGGGGATGCAAATAGTTTTTCGTTGAGAATGCAAACTGGCAAAGGATTAATAGCTCCTGTTGGGAAATGAGAATTTAGAAAAAGAAAATAAAAATTGCAGTAGTTATCGAAGGGTGAATTTATGTAAATAAGGGATTTTATGTACATTCAAACAAACCTGTGTAGCCATAAATATTAGCCTAGAGGTCTGGCTAGCACAATGCTGTCTAGTCTTAAGGCTTTTTAAAAATGTATTTATTTATTTTCATCGCTAAAGTTCGATGATCTTTGAAGTAATGACAGGAGGGATGTTGAAAAAGTCACCCTGATTTTATTTTTCAAAAATCAGAAAACATTTATGTGAAGGAAACCTTTGAAAAAAAAGAAAAAAAAAAGAAGAAGAAATATTTACACTGTAAACGGATCAAACTGGCTCAACATTACTTGAACTGTAGAGACAACTTGAAAGCAGTTTCTGACATGGTTGCTAAAGAAAGGCACAACTTGGCAAATGCATATCAATAAGGAATGTACAGCAGGGACCTACAAAGCACTTGGACCATTCTGAGTTGTGTAAAGTGTCAGACATACATTCATTACTGTTCAACTCAGCAGGTTGAGAGTGAGAAATCTTATCGCATTATCGGAAAAACAAAACAAAACTAAACAATGTACCCAGAAACGTACAGAGCATTGCATTGAGTGTAAGGGGCATATGGGACAACTAAAATCTAAGAGAGGTAGAACTTACCCCTAAACTCAAGCACTGTGTAATATAAATAAATTAATCATGCTACAAGTTGTATATTACCGTAAACAGCTGTTTGTTACAGGAAGGAAATACACATACAAATGTTGGCTTGACCTCTTCCCCTTTTAGCCAGTACAATTAAGCAGTGACGTAAATGTATCTATACAATGTAAATGAAACTAAAACCTTAAATAAAGTGCAGGCATGAGAACATTAAGCATGGGATAGCCTTCAGAGCTCAGCCAACAAAATTTTACTCCGTAGTTGTAGAAGTGGACTACGTGGGTGTAAAAAAATGATTTTAGTAAGCTGACAAAGATGTGATATACATGCCATGTCACAACACAATATCTCAAGTCAAACAGCACCTTTGTTACAACCAGATGGTGCCATGAAATCAGACTAGGCACTTGGAAAAGGGTACAAGTTATTAACTACTGTATCCTGGCGCCAGTGCAACCAAAATTCAGCTATGACTGAACTGTTGCACTTTGAGAGATTTTTTGCATTGCCCATTACATTAATCTGATCAGAACGCCTTTTCAATTACAGACAAGCTAATAACAGTTACCACTACAAATATGTACAATATCATGTAACCTATGGCACACAACAGGAGGGGGAAGTAGTATGGACACATGTGGTCAAATACGTCATTATTTCTGACTCATCAGGCTGGCACGTTCAGGTTATTTTCCTATTAAAGTCAAAATCCTTCAAAAGTATCAAGGAGACAGTCTTGAATTAAAGCAGTTTCAAGTAAGTTATACATTCAATTTCTGGAGAGACAACAAAACAACTCACTGGGGGAAAAAAAAGAAAACAAATACCCGCATATATAATTACATGAAATAAAATACAACTACAGTAGTTTTTAGGGATGCACCAACTGGAATCATGAGCTTGGGATATGGTCATTCTCCTCCCCTTCTGTACCAGGGAACCAGAGAAATCTTTTTTTAACTAAATTAATAAAGTTTTTCAGCGCTTCATCATGCCATCAAAGTTTATGCAACAATAGACAGACATTAATCGAAAGATCAGCAAGTCTTCTTTGTCAATGTCCTTCAAAAAAAATAAGCTGTTGTATTGATGCATCCCTAGCAGTTATACAGATTTGACTAGTAATAACACTTAAGAATCACTGAGATCAGGAGGAACATAGCTGCAATAAAGTTAATTGGACATTTTTAACCAATTTAACAGCAAATCAACAAGGATTTCTCAGAATATTGATTGTACCTCAATAAAGAAGAGAGACATTCACAAAAGTGAATGTGTTTATTACCTGATGGATAAAGAAAGAAAGACAAGGGAAACTAATTAACTGCTATTTTGCCCTCTTCCATGAAATGTGGAAACTGTGATTTTGGCACACTGTCTGAGCCATTTTTCTCAATTTCAGCCATGGTGGCAGGCAAGCCTGAGTGGGATCCATCAATCTTCATGAGGCCTCCAGTGGAGCCAATCAGGGGCCCTCCAGCAGGGCTCCCAGGGAGTGGGATGCCACCTCCCTGGATGACAGAAATTTCGTTGGTCTTCATGGTCAGGCCACCACTGAAGGTAGCAGTCGCATACTGGTTCCACAGAGATGGGTCAAAGTTCATCGGAGGAGCGACCAGCTCTTTGGGGGCCTGCATCATTTCTGGCATCATCTTTGCATCTGGGGTCATTGCAATCAACGCCATGGGATTATCTAGAGACAGACGCTGGCCACGCCTTGATGAGTTGTTCCACATGTGGGTGCCAATATGAACCTTAAAAAAACCCAAAACGTTTATTTTTCAGTACATCATCTATATACATGAACTCTAATGCCTAATTTAACCATTTCTCAGACAAGTGATGACTCACCTTTAGATTTCCCTTCGTTGTGAAAGCCCTGCCACAAATGTGGCAGGCGAAAGGCTTCTCTCCTGTATGTGTGCGCTCATGGATCTGCAGGGCACTGGCAGAGGAGAAGTTCTTGCCACAGACATGGCACACATGTGGTTTGGCTGATCGTCGTGGTGCAGGGGACACTGAGGAGGGCATGGCTGTTCCCTGAGGCACATGGGAGCTGAACAACCCGTGAGGACCCAGAGGATTCTCTGGGGGAACCTTCATCTCTAGACTGGCCAACGTTGGTGGTATCCTCATGAAAGGCATGTTACTGGAAGCTACTAACACAGAAAGATTGAAGATTAGGTCTACACATTCAAGATGACAGCATCTAATACACTTCACTCAACTTGTAAACTTACCATAGTCTCCATTTGAAAAAGACATGCCAGGCTCTTCCTTAATTGCTTTTGGGGTGAAGCTGCTGGAAGCTGTGAGGTCAAGTGCGCCACTTGACTCATCTTTAGCGTCATCTGACTCTGGTTTTGACCCGCTCTGGGGAAATTCATCAAGAGCAGGCTGAGGAGATTTGCCATTAATGTTGTTAACTGGAGAAGAGGAGCGAAAAGACGCAGCCGAGTCTGAGATGGAGGGACTACGGCCGTTTTGATACTCCTGCTCTCTCTGAGCTGGTGGGGATTCTTTGGATGTTCCTTCACTTTCTGAAGTAGTGCTATTTTGTCGTTTCAGTGCAAGAGCATTGGAGAGATTCTTCAAAACATCTAGGCTGGACATTACAGGGGCTGCAAGCTTCTGTGGTTGCTCCTCAGCGGCAGATGGCAGGGAACTGGAGGAGTCATTTGCTGTCTTGTTAAGCTCTGGCTCTTGATCTTCCATGCTGGCTTCAAATCCGTTGGCGTCAATAGACTTCTCTTCTGGGAGAGAAGGCACAATTGCTTCTGCTGGTTCAAACTGGTTTTCTGGCATGGGGGTGTTGGGGATCTGCCCACCCATGTGCATGCGAATGTGCTGCTGTAGAACCACTGCATTTGTGAACTTTTTCTGGCAGATTGGGCATGAGTGTTGCATTTTAAGAGGAGTGCTAGCCCTGTGCACACCATAATGAGCCTTGAGGTTACCCTTTGTGGTGAATGCGCGGCCACAGATCTTGCACTTGTACGGCCTTTCGCCAGTGTGTGTGCGATAATGCATTTTGAGTGAGCTCTGACAACTCAGTACCCTATGGCAGATCACACACTCATTGGGATCACCAGTCTTCTTCTCCAGTCCATCCACCATCTGCTGAAGTTTTGCTGTTCCAGAGCTTTGCTCCCCTAAGAGAGAATTACCATTCATGTGGTGCAATGCTCCAAGCATCTCTTTAGCATCTTTCTGGTTGGGCTCCAGGCCCACGTCTTGGCCATACACAGACGAAACATTTGGGGAGCCATTACTTGTTGATGGCGAGGGTCTCTGGGAAAATGGATCACCCCCAAAGCCATCAAATGTTTTGAACCCTGGCATGGATGATGGGCTGAAAACAGCCGCTGGGTGACTTGGCACAGGCTTCATTTCGGTTATGTTTGACTCATCCATGGGTACGGACATACCAAAGGGAATCCCACTGCTGGTCGGAATATTGTCAAGGTGCTCGGGTACAGGATGAGGATTCATGCTGATGTTAGGATATTTGTCTTTATGCCGCTGGAAATGCACTTTGAGGTTTCCCTTGGTTGTGAAACGGTTTCCGCAGATGTTACACTTGAAAGGCCTCTCCCCGGTGTGAGAACGCAAATGAATCTGGAGGGCACTGTCATTGCCAAAAGTCTTTCCACAGTATTTGCACTTGTGCTTGTATAGTGGGTCCCCACTCTTTGATTCCGGTGGGATGTTCAGCATCTTTGGCTTCACTTTTTTGGAGGCATCGATCCCTGCCTGGACTCCACTGAACACACTAGGGAAACCCAGAACACCTGAAGACTGTGGCATGAGTACTGGTAAACGTCCGGCTAGATCTGGAGCACCCTTTAAAAGGTCTGTGTTTGATGTCATCGAGCCCATTCCTGCATTCAGAGCAGGAGACATGCCAGTGGGTAGAGGTAGTTTACCTTGCTTTAGTTTCTCCATGGAAAGGCTCTGACTGCCGGTTCTTTTTCCTATCAGTGCTGCTGCAGCAGACAGTTGCTGAGAGAGATGTGCACCAAGGGCTCTCAGAGGATCCATTGTTGACTCTACTGATGATTGGAGACTCTGTGGGACCATCATGGCTATTTGGATTCTGATCTGTTCGGTGAGCTGGATTTGCTGTAGCTGTTGCTGCTGGAGGCACACTAGCTGTTCCAGGATTACTGGAATGGCCTGCATGGCATCCTGTGAAGTCTGAGAAGTGTTTGAAGGAATTTGGGAAACAGCCACTTTAGTGTCAGCCATGGTTTCAAGAGTAACATTTGAATCTTGCCTTTTGGGGGAGGGTTGGAAAGTCATCTCAGGACTAGCAGACATCTCTCCCCGATCCTGGTGTCTGGAATCATCTGCATTTGCACTGGACTCCTCCTCCAATCTTTCAAGCTGGTCTGTGTTGGCACGCGATGGAGAATGATTGCTGGAGTGGCCGTCTTCGTGATCACTGGCAAGGCCTTCAGAAGAACCCTGTGAATATTTCTCAGGCTCGTCACTGCCGTCTCCATCTTTCATGATGACCACTTGCTGACTTTTTGTGCAATTTTTCTCATGTTCAAGAAATTCTTCTTCGTCGAAGAATTCAGCACAGCACTTGGTGCACACTCTGGTTTCATCCATTCTGAACCTCTTTACTTCATTTCCAATCTCCTCAGCGGAATCACCTTGATGAATCCCTTCAACGAGAGAACAAAATATTTACATGAATACTTCTCATACAATTACAACCATGTTCGTCAAATCAAATAATGTAATTCCTGTAACACATTAAAGGCTACAATGTTTTGTTCATTTGTCAAGATCTGAGATTTTGCTGATTTGGTGTAATGTATTTATTCACTGGCTCACACCATCACATCTAAAAGGGTCCCCCCCTGTTTTGTCCACTCTCTCTAGGTAACTGCACCAGGCTGTAAAAATTGTGAATTGCTCTATTGTCCAAAGGGCCTGTAGAGGGCAATCATTTATCTTTGGCTACCTAGAACAATGTCCACAGAAACAAAGAGCTACAGATTGAGTATCAAGTTACACTCAAGTTAGATTCTGAA